TATTATATTATATTATGGGTGATGAGGTGGTGCAGTAGGTAGTGCTGTCACCTCACAGCAAGAAGGTCGCTGGTTTGAGCTTCGGCTGGGTCAGTTGGCATTTCTGTGTGGAGTTTGCATGTTCTCCCTGCGTTCGCGTGGGTTTCCTCCGGGTGCTCCGGTTTCCCCCACAGTCCAAAGACATGTGGTATAGGTGAATTGGTTAAGCTAAATTGTCCGTAGTGTATTTGTGTAAATGGATGTTTCCCAGTGATGGGTTGCAGCTGGAAAGGCATCCAATGCATAAAAACATGCTGGATAAGTTGGCAGTTCATTCCGCTGTGGCGATCCCAGATTGATAAAGGGACTAAGCTGAAAAGAAAATGATTGAATGAATATTATATTATATTATATTATATTATATTATATTATATTATATTATATTATATTATATTATATTATATTATATTATATAAGGACAAATCAGGCGATGCGGTAGCGCAGTGGGTAGCATGTTCGCCTCACAGCAAGAAGGTCGCTGGTTCCAAAGACATGTGGTATAGGGGGAATTGAGTAGGTTAAATTGTCTGTAGTGTGTGTGTGGATGTTTTCCAGTAATGGGTTGCAGCTGGAAAGGCATCCACTGCTTAAAACATATGCAGGATAAGCTGGTGGTTCATTCTGCCGTGGCGACCCCTGATTAATAAAGGGTCTAAGCCGAAAAGAAAATGAATGAATAAAAGAACAAATCAGCTGACCGACTAGATTGCACAACTTTTGAAATGTTTTGGTCATTCTACAGTCCCAGTCTTGAGCATCTGCGCTCACAAATAGTGGTCTCACCCATTCAAAAGCCACCATGTGTTTATTATTTTTTATCTTTTGAGGCATATGTAATTTAATATTTAAGAAAAAGGCCCACATTGGCTTTTCCTACTGCAGCAAATGTACTTTATACATCATCTGAAAAATAAATAGGCTTTCTGATTATGTATGGTTTGTTGGGATAGGACAATATTTGTCTAAGGTACAACTTTTTGAAAATCTGGTCTGAGGTACGAAAAACTGAGGTTTCAAAAAATGCAAATACTGAGAAATACATATTTAAATGTGTCTAATTCAAAAGCTTAGCTATGCACATTACTAATAAAAAAGTTGTAGCATGTTTAAAGTATGAATGTTGTAAAATATCTGCATAGAACATGATTTTTACTTAGTATTCCAATTATTTTTGAAATAAATGAATATGGGGACCAGGGTCACATATTCCAAATGTTCCCCACAGTCCAAAGACATGCACTATAGGTGAATTGTATAAACTAAATCCACCGTAGTGTATGTGTGTGAATGAGAGTGAATGGATGTTTACCAGTACTGGGTTACAGCAGGAAGGCGATCCCTGATAAATTAGAAGCTGAAAGAAAATGAAAGAATATTATATTATATTATATTATATTATATTATATTATATTATATTATATTATATTATATTATATTATATTATATTATATTATACATTTAGATCAGTCATATTTTTATGTACAGAGACTATAAAGGGATTGCTTATAGCCTATGACTCATGGTTCCTTTTACACAGAAGCAGTGTTTTCCACATGACGGTAGTTATTTTATCATTTATCTCTCAGGACTATTTAACTTTAAATATTAACTCATAACCTTACAAGAAAATACTGACAGGAAATCCTCCAAAATATAATCCTCAGAAAAATATTTTTCCTCTAGATAGTGAGAGGGAGTCTGGTTGTCATTACTATTGGAAGGGAGCCTTGCAAACCACCACCCACCCATCCACCATCTGGCATATGTTCACCTACAGGGGAAGAACAGGGGTTTGATGTGGAAGGCAAAGGTCGCAGAGGTGACTGAATGCGTTTGTGTCTTGCAGGCAGGTGGGTGGAGAGTGTAAGATCTCTCCTGAATCATCGCTGAGGCGCTGTCGGACCTCCGACGGCTTGATCTGTAGCGGGAGAGGCACATGCGAGTGTGGAATCTGCATATGCCAGGTCACAGAACCAGGAACGTTCTATGGACCGCGGTGTGAATGCCACGACTGGGTCTGTCCTACATATGATGGAAAGACCTGTGGGGGTAAGAGATGTTGAAGTATCTCCCAACACCCTATTCCTTGTCAATAAGTCATGTGGAAAAGTTAGAACACCCTATGAATTTTTTCAATGCCAGGAAAAAAAAGGTCTGATCATTGAAAGGTTTTATATACAGTTGAAGACAGAATTATTAGCCCTACCTGTATATATTTTCCACAATTTCTGCTTAATAGAATGAAGATTTTTTTCAACACATTTCTAAACATTTTTCTAATAACGTTTCTAATAACAGATTTTACTACAGGCTTATATAGGTTGATTAGGTTAACTAGGCAAGTTAAGTAAATTAGGCAAATGATTGTAAAGGAATATTATAATAATATATAATAATATTGACCTCAAAATGGTTTTTAAAAAAATCAAAAACTGCTTTTACTCTAGCTGAATTAAATCAGAATGATTTCTCCAAAAGAAAAAATATTAAAAGGAAATACTGTGAAAAAAAATCTTTGCTCTGTTGAACATCATTTGGGAAATAATTGAAAAAAAAAATTGACAGGAGGGTTAATAATTTTTTCTTCAACTGTAATTAGAAAAATAAACATCAGATTAACAACAACATATTTCATTAACAAAAATAAATAATGTATTCCTTATCAAATACCTTAACTGACCGTCAGTATATGTTTTAGCAGTTTGTTGGTCTGGAGCCTTCAGGTGTGTATTATCTTAATGCCCATCCGGCAGTGGCGATGATGATCCTAAGCACACCAACAACAGAACAGCTGAAAAAAGGTGTTGCAATAGTCCAGTCAAAGTCAAGACCTAATCCCCTAAAATTCTGCAGTGAGAGAAAACTTCCCAGAATGATCTAAGAGGCTGTAAAAAATATCTGTTAAATAACAGTTTTTGTATTTTGTGATTCACAAGTGGTTTCCATTTATTTACGATTGTGAATTACTGTACATTATGGGAGCTTAATCTCTGCTCTGTTAAGTTCTGATGTTAAGAATTCAACTCTACATTTTAACAGTGTCTTTTATTGACATTTTAGTAGCTTAAACTTTGAAATAATATAATGGATAAGAAATAATAGATAGAGAAATAAGTCTGTAAATAACAGTAATGTACAGGAAAAAAAACTTTTGCACCATATTTTACAACACCAACCCAGACAATATATCACTTTAAACTATTAAAAATGTAAGTAAAACTCACTTTTACAAACTTTCTAGGTTAAAAGTTGTTGGAAGAAATATTATGGTCCTCCCGTAATGCAATTCAAAAGTACCGTATAAACAAATAGGGAAAAATAAATAAAAACATGAAATCAAAAATATGGAAAACTGGAAATTTTGAATATTTTTTACAGTATAGCTATGTTTCCATCCACCTATTTGTATGCACATTTTAGAATATCTCATAAAATGTGCTTAAAAGAGTCACCAAGATGCACATAACTTTTGAAAATGAGCTTAAAAAACTCAATCACACAACTGAGTAAGATAAACTTTTTATCCCATAAGAAAAAATGTGCATAGATGATGATGAAAACATGAATACTAAATATATATATTCAAACATGCGCATCAATCTAGTCATGTAACTTTGTTTAGGAGATCATATGATGATAAAATGAGTGCGGTGAAATGGCAATAGTGGACAAATCAGCTGAGTGACCACATTGCACAACATTTGAAATGTTATTTTGGTCATCAAGTCAATCATCAAAGTGGTTCAGTATTATTAACTTCCAGAACTGTCTTGAGTGTCTGGACTTCCAAAGAGTGATCTCACCCCTTCAAAACTTTTTGTCTTCTAAGGCCCACAGTGGCCTTTTTTATTATTATTTTCTTTTAGATATTTGCCACCAGTTTATCAGGAAGCAATTATTTTCTTCTATATGAGTCATTGGAAGGAAAAGGTGCATTATTTTTTATTGGATATTGCAATTTTGCAATCTACATTTTTGGCTAGAAACATACAGTAGCTAAAGATCTGGTCGTACAGAAAATGATTAAGTTATTGCTACTAAAAGTGGTTCTACACCATAGGCTGACCAAAGTTTGTCACCTAAGGTTTTTCTTTCATGGCTTTATATTTGTTAATTAAATAATGACACATTGTGAGATGTCATGTGATGTTGTTCATCTGAGGTTTTATCTGACTTTATATAGACCATGATGCCCTGAAAGAAAAAAAAAAACAACAGCATGAAATATAGTAGAGTGTCCTAACTTTGAATGTTGTTTTCAATGTCAGGTGTCTTCTGTTAAAAAAAAAAAAAAAGGTTTTGCAGACATGTGCAAGACACACATCCAGCTTGAGTCAATGCCTTTGATGTTCCATCCAATATTGTGTCATTAGCTACAAGGTCTAATTTGAATTTCACAGTGCCTGTATTCAGACTAAGACAGGCGCTTTCAAAAGAGCCTGTTTGGATGCCATGTTGTTCAGCAGCAACCCTCTATTTTCACAGATTTTGTAGAAGCTGCTTCAAAGGATCTTTTTCACCGATACTTCCTTTACTGTGTCGAATGTCAATTCAGTATTTCCACTGGATGGTGAGTGTTTGCAAAATTTGTTGCGAGTCCATTGAAATCCATTAGAAAAGCCTCCTGAAAAACCTGACATCCAAACCCTCGGCTGACAGGTTCATGACCCCTTGATGGCTTCTAAGCATTTTATAATTACAAGAACACAATTTTGTCAGGTGCTAGTCTCAAGATATTTACACTCCAGAGAAAGCAACTGTGACCATCCACTTTTTCGAGCTGTCTTGGTTCTGGAAGTATTATTCTCCTACGGGTTATTCAATAAAAAGTTCAAAGCCATGAACCAAACTAACAGTTTATATATTGTTAGATTTTGCTGTATTTGGCTTAACCGTTCTTGGGTGGCTCGCCAATGTATTAGATTACTCTAATACATAAAAAAGTAAGCTGACCAAAGTTCTTACGGAGAAAAGACTTTATTGAAGACAATCAATAGTGCAGTTCCTCAGCAGTGATGTTAACCCGTCGGTCTTCAAGTAACTTAACCCAAAGTACTGTCTGTGAGACAGTACTTTATATTAGCATCAAACAAACCATTCTGTTTACGAGGCTCAGCAGGACCCTCTTCAGATGTTTCAGCTGTTGTTTTGTTAATACCCATTGAGATTGTAAAAGGGTCATTTAGTTCACACCTATCAGTTTGTGGGGGTCGAGGCACAGGTCACCCCATCATATCACATAAGAGTTTAATCAATGTAAATGCAACTGAACTAAAATGGACATAATCTTTCAATCCCTCCTCTGATCATATTTGATCATAAAACAAGTTAATCATGTATACAGCAATCTGCAATACAGGCTATATAACTTAAAGTGACAGAATAAAAAGGCATGGTGAAGCTTGCATTTCCTTAAATGCCTGAGTCCATTTCTGTTTGAAGTTGTGATGTTGTGGAAGTAGCGGATGTGGTTGTGTTCTGTGAATGTTCAGGTGTGTTCATCTAGGTGTCTGGTGTTGTGTGTCTCTGGTCATTCTCTGGAACATCGGAACACCTGCAATCACACAAAAAGAGAAAAGGGAAACGTATCTTGCCCAAAAAAAGATTTTAGAGAAATTGTCAAACTGCCTATAGAAACTATAGAAACTGTCCCTATTTAATATTGACAGGACACTACAGTGTTTATCAGTGGTGGTTTATGTCTTCATCCTCAGGCGACAAGCTAGAGCCTAAAAACTCTAGTCTCGCCATATCTGGACTCTGAAAAACACTACTGTCATCTATCCCTCGTCTCTAGGCAAACTCACGTTGATCCATTTATCAAGTCCCTGAACTTTATTTATTGAATCAGATACTAAAACCTTCTCATATGAGTTCTCACACCTAGATTTTAATGGTAATATCTGAGGTTGTCGTATCTTTACCCATTTTCTGGGCTCTAAACTATGGCCCCTCTTCAGAGGTGACAAAACTTTATTATTGTCCTCATGTACTGCCAGGCTGAGTCTTGCTTTGTATTGGACAAGGCTGTCAGATGTCAGATTTTCTGTGGACATGGGCTGGCTTGGGGCATGTTCAAAAGGGCATAGTCTGTTTCCATCCATACTGCATTGGTTGCCATCACGCAGTTCTTTTGCATCGTCCATCAGCATTTCTTTTGTTGAGTTTTCATTTGCAGTCTGCTTTCTGTCTAAGACTGATCGGTGGTCTTGCTGAAGCTGTCTTAATGCCGCTGTATGTTCACCTCTCTCCTTTACGGCTTGTTTGGCAACACCATCTACTAGGACATCAAACTTGTCTTCATCTGTTGAGACTTCTGTGTCAGCTTTTATATTACTGTTTGCATACACATTCAGTTCATCAGCTTCTGGAAAAGACGTCACTAGCTGGTGCTGCAGAGAGAGGTTCTTCAGTTTCCCTGCGGCTGTACAGCATTTAGCAGAGTCTGTTTTTGTTGTATTGTTAGCTGCTGAAACTGCTTGAACAGGTGGTCATCATCCTTGCTTTGATGTTTTAAACTGAGCTTGCACTCACGGGCCCAGTGTCCTTCTTCATTGCAATTTCTGCATCTTCCTTTAGTTCGTAGTTTTGAGTATCCCATATACTCACGTTCTTTTTGCTCATCCTCAATTCTTCTGTTCTTGTAAAACAAACTTTCCGATTGCAAAGATCTAAGTCTGACATCTTGTGCTCTCTCCAGTTTAGCTGACCATTCAACAATCTGGATGAAAGTTGTTACAGTGCTGTCCCAGTCATCATACCTGATTTTAAGATCTTTAGAAATCTCAGGATTGAGTCCATTGACAAATGCTGTTTTCAGGGGAATTCCAGTGTCTTTGTCAAGATCTTCACTTGTATTCAGACCAGAATGTTCCGTCCATATTTGTCTGAAGCGTTCTTCAAACTCTGCAACACTTTCTCCAGTTTTCTGCATGCATGAGGTAATTCTTGCCCAATTGACCTCTGCAGGTTTCAGTTCAAACAAGAAGTTTTTTATGGCTTCCCATCCATCCTCTATGTTTTCTTGTGATTCACCAATCCTTCTTTCAACACTTTCTGTAAGTCTCTTTTGGTCACTGTCTCTTAGGGTGACATTAAGAATCATCACACCGTCTAGTGGATGTAAAATGTAGATTTTCTGCAGTCGTTGAAGAAACTGCCAAACCTTTCGTGGTTGTTTGTATACATCTGGCAGCTCTTTTGACCATTTGTCAACTTGCTCTGGAGTAGCTGGATGGTATGTCCTGTATGGAACATACTTCTTTACCACTTTTGTCACAGTGCGAGTTCGTCTCTCTCCATTGTCTTCATAGCCCTCCTCATTGTCAATTTCAACGTTAGTCCTTCTGTGTTTGACAATCACAGGAGCTAATCTAATCTTTGAGTTCACTGGGTCATGAACACAGGTGTTGATGGAAAGATCAGCCTCACTGTCAACAAAGCTGCTCGAAGATCTTGATTCCAGCTGTTTAGAGATCAAATTCAATAGCTTGTTGTTTTCCTTTTCCAGTCTTTCTTTATCCTTCTTTAAGTTTTGCAATTGTTCAGCCAGTGCTCGAACTTTAGCTTTCTCCGCTTTGTTCTCACGTTCCAATCTGTCAATCTCACACTTATGCTCATGTTGAAGAATTTGCTTAACCAAAATCACAGACAATCCATCCTTCTTGGTGGTTGTGCATAAGCGCTGTGTCTTTCCATAAGCCCTTTTAATGTCCGGCAATGCCCATAATCCACTCTCTGAGTGCTTGATGCTGTACTTCTTGCATACATCATCACGACACTTCCTCAGTCCCAGCCTTTTGTCCAAATATTTATTCAGATTTTCCAACATCTGATCAATGGTAACACATGGAGGTTCTGTTCCATGCTTTTCTGTTGTTGTTCTCAGGGTAGCTCCATTAGCATAGTTTCTTGCAGACTCAGCCATGGGAAGTACAGGACAGTGCCCTCAGAGGTGTGAAACAGAACAAAAGGTGTTAGAGCTATCAAAGGTGCTTATTCCAATTTAAATTCACAGCAGTCTGTTAAACCATTACAAATACATAGACAGATTCAACATTTGTTTCAAAGCTAAAATAGTGGCTATTAAATTAGCACTTTCGTTCTTTCAGTCCCAAATCTTATTTGGCTTCTAACAATCTTTGAACAAATGTATTAAACTATTACTTCTACAATCTCTACAATCCCAACAGAGAATGTGTCAAGCTTTGCTTCTGCATTCTTAGTGATTTGACCAGAATTATTTTTTCACAGTTTCTACAATCTTCAAAGCAAGAATCAAGCCTAAAATTGTCTGAAAGCTTCTGTCTAATAACAATTCTTTCTGAGCATTATCTTAGAAGGCTAAGTAACTTTCTTTAGGATTTGTCCCTAATACAATGTACTTAAATCTTACTGTATCCTTAAACCTAAGGCAAACAGCTTACAGTTTTATGCCATCATATTTTAACACAGTTAGAATTTTCAAAATTCCAATACTGGCTACTGAATTAGCCCACAGTCAAGAATTCCTAATTCTCGCAGCAATATCAGTCGCAAACCATTTATGTTTGCTTTATATGGCTCATAACCATCTTTGGAAAAATAAGCTAAACTGTTATTTTTCAATCTCTACAATCACAGCTGAGAATGGACCAAGCTCTGCTTCTGCATAATCTTAGTGATTGGACCAGAATGATTATTTAACAGTTCATGCAAACTCTAGAAAACGAACCAAACCTACAATGTTTTAAGATTTCTATCACAGAAGGCTCTGTTACCTTCGAAATTAAAATAGTGGCTACTGAATTAGCACCCAGTCAACATCAACATCAGTCCCAAACTATTTTACGGCTCCTACAGTCCCCTGGGGAAATGGACCAAATTATTTTCAACAATTCCTACAATCTCCAAGAGAAAGGACCAAATTGTTTAAATAATTCCTACAAGTACCCTGAGAATGGACTAAGCCTAAAATTTCCACTGCTCTTTCAAAATCTTTTGATAAATGGACCAAATTGTTTCTTTAACAATTTCTGCAAATATCGAGAAAAAGCCTGAAATTTCAGCAATACTATCACTGTAGTTTATTACTGCACTACATATACAGGTAGATCTGCTTACTTTAATGGTTACTTATAAAAGATGTTTCTTTTAAGGGTTCTTTAAGAGAGCTGATAAGTTTCACTCACCAAACTAGGATCTTTGAGATGAGATCCAGTTGATTAAAATAAAGTGTGTCCACAGATACAATATGTAGATCCAGGACTCGTCCACAAACAAAATCTGTTTATCTTCTGCTTTAACTGTAGATTCTCCAAGATTCTTCAGTTCATTTCTTGTTGCAGTTGATGAGTTTTCCTCTTTTCAGTCTCTCCTGGCTGGCTCGCCAAATTGTTAGATTTTGCTGTATTTGGCTTAACCGTTCTTGGGTGGCTCGCCAATGTATTAGATTACTCTAATACATAAAAAAGTAAGCTGACCAAAGTTCTTACGGAGAAAAGACTTTATTGAAGACAATCAATAGTGCAGTTCCTCAGCAGTGATGTTAACCCGTCGGTCTTCAAGTAACTTAACCCAAAGTACTGTCTGTGAGGCAGTACTTTATATTAGCATCAAACAAACCATTCTGTTTACGAGGCTCAGCAGGACCCTCTTCAGATGTTTCAGCTGTTGTTTTGTTAATACCCATTGAGATTGTAAAAGGGTCATTTAGTTCACACCTATCAGTTTGTGGGGGTCGAGGCACAGGTCACCCCATCATATCACATAAGAGTTTAATCAATGTAAATGCAACTGAACTAAAATGGACATAATCTTTCAATATAAACTGGAAGAAATTGATAGCATGAATTGGAGTGGGCAGTATGTGGCTCTTTGCTACAGTTTCTATAGCAGTGCTGTGCTTCATTTATCTTGGATGTTGGAGTGAGGATTCATATCATACCTTAGTCGAAAACAATATGAAAAAAAAAAAAAACGGAATTAAAAAAAACATAAAAATTGAGTTTGTTGCACTAGTAATAACGATGAAATATTGATTTTGCCTGCATATGTTATTTTCACTCTAAGGGCTCTATTTTAATGATCTAGGCGCAAAGTCTAAAGCGCATGACGCAAAAGGATTAAGAGAGTGTCTGAATCTACTTTTGCTATTTTAAGCACGGAAAAATATTGTATTATATTTGTAAGTGGAAAAAACGAATACTGCACTAGCGAGAAAACGGTTAAACAAACCATCTGCACTAGGATAAAGAATGAGCCCTCTCCATTCTGCCTCTTTACTTTCTTTTTACTTTACTCCTTTCCTTTCATGGAGTAAAGAAACGGTCGAAACTTACTCTATGAAGAGATCCAGTAGCCTGACTATTTAATTTAGTTTGTTAAACGCAAAGATTTGTTTAAAAACTATTTATAAATTCATTTCTAATGTCCTTTCCCAGTGTTGGGTTGCGGCTAAGCCAAAAATAAAAAGAATGAATGAATGAGTTCTAATTTCCAGCGAAAGAAAAAATGAACAATAATAACGAAGTTATTGCTATTCTTATGCCCCAGATGGTGATGCATACATCTCCAAAACTCAACAGATGGACACACCTCCAAAGGCGCATAACTCTTGCATAGCTCTGTGCTGGACTATAGACCAGCTTTTAGTTGCAGACTATTTCAGTTCCCAAAAAACAGAGCATCAAAAGTGTGCCAACAATGCTCACCTCCTTTTTAGACCGGAACACACGAGTTCACAATGTGGTGCAAAACATGAAAATTAGTGTTGCCATCATTTGATATGCTTTGAATGAATCAAGAAAAAAATTGTAGGTGAGGGTGCCGCGGACCAAAGTGAAGAGCGGAAGGTAGAGGGGTGGTTGGTCAAGATTCACAGACAAAATTGAAGAGAGTCGCGAAAGAAAGTGAAGAGCGGGGTGGGGCGGGGGCACATGTGAAGAGGGGGATCAGTAAAATGAGGTGCATCTATCTATCTATCTATCTATCTATCTATCTATCTATCTATCTATCTATCTATCTATCTATCTATCTATCTATCTATCTATCTATCTATCTGTCAATCTATCTATCTATCTATCTGTCTGTCTGTCTGTCTGTCTGTCTGTCTGTCTGTCTATGAAATTTATTTATCTTTAATTTGATCTATTGTCCCAAACAAACAACTTGATAACTTCAAAGCAAATAATCAGTGTCTCCAAATCAGTTTTAAGGAAAATGAGCAGGGCTCCACATAGCTGAAATGTGAGCTGACATTTCTGTACTGATTTTTATACTCTCTAAAACAACAATCCATCTGACAAACTTTGAACAAAAACACCTGTGTATTTCTGTTCCACCTTCAGTTTTTGATCTGTAGAAACGAGACACAGAGGACCACTAATAGAGATACGTGAAGCTGGCAAGAAAGATTTATTTGCGCAGGCATGTTGCGAGCCAGCAAAGAGCTCATTAGTTTTGAACCATCTGATAATAGTGTTCTCTCATGGTTGCGTATTCTGAAAATGGAGGACCAACTTTTATATTTTTCATAAAAGCTATATTTACTGTGTACCTCTGACAAAATAGCCAACATCTCATCCTTTAACAAGAAGTGTTTTTTCAGAGTTGGTTTGGCAGTTTGGGTTGTTGTAGTACTATGAAAGGATTCTGATATTGTCCAATTGTTTCATCCCTTCAATGTAATTGAAGATTTAGAACAACATCAAGACATATTTATACCAAAAATGCAGCGAGAAAATCCATTTGTGTTCTGTTCAGTACTGTTGACCATTACACAAAGATATCTCAGGCTTTTCAGTCTTGTCATTTCAGTCGACATACATTTAGGGACGCTTATGTGCTCCACTTTCAAACCCACCACCAGCTCTTCTGTAAAGCATATGGTATTCCCTGACAATAAGCATAATTTTTTTGCCTCACCACTTTCTTCCTTTCCTTTTTTAATAATTTTATTTCTCATTACAGGATCTGCATGATAAGTAGAGCATTTAATGAGAAATTTATGTTCTGACTTAAAAAGAAAAAAGCTGTCTGGTCTCTGGAGAGCTACGTTTTGTCAGGGAGACTCCATAAATCATTTTGCCTTAAAACACCTGTTTTTGCTGAACAACGAACAGATAAACACGGCTTGATCCTGATGATAAGACTTCAAACTAGATCTTACAAACCTTAGGGTGTACGCGACTACAAAACATTTAACCTGACAGCTAGCCACCATATGTATGATTTCATTTATAAAGTTTGTTTGGATCTCCAGCATTTCACAGGCTAAATTAAGATATGTGAATATTTGCTTTTTATTTGTTCACACCAAACAGCACAAACATCCAAATATAAAAGTATTACCATGGGATTTTATGTTTTTTTTTTTACAGACTGGGGGGAAAGGGAAGAAAATTTGGGTTTTCCTACCGTTTTTATGTGACCTGGATTGGCTTTTTTTCTTTCTTTCTTTATGGGGACAGAGCTCAACGTGGCAGTTTCTTTCCATTTTTCTCACTCATTTTTCCCTCTACCAAAACAAGTTAATTGAGGTTTCAAGGAGCCACGGGATAGATTTGGCACAGAACTGACTCAATGTTTCCCTCTGTAGCCTTTTTCCATCTGTAGAAATGACATTTCTCTCAGCTACTTGGTGTGACCTTCATTTCGGCCCCTTCTTGTGTGTGTGTGTTTTTTTTTTTTTTGTTTTTTTTTTATCAAACAAGTGTTACCATCTTGAGACCCTTTCTCTCCAACCTGAAACAAATCGAAATGAGGCATATGTGAAAAGAAAAATGATTTATGATTAGGTATGTTCAAAGGAGATGTTTTATAACATCAGAGGGAATGGTTTGATACCCTCAAGATCTTTTTATTATTTTTTTTATGTGAGAATGTCAGAAAAGTGATATTCCATGTTTTCAGGTCCCAGTGGAACTCTATCAGGAGCTTTTTCCACAACCCTTTTTGCTGTTGGACTTCTGTTCTTCCCAAGAAATGACATTTAGGATTGTTATATAACCTGGACACACCTTCAGGTCTAAAGTATTAGATATGAAAAGATACTTCAAATATAGAATTGATGATTAAACAATATATAGGGCGACATAGGGGCTCAGTGATTAGCACTGACGCTTCACAGCAAGAAGATCGCTGGTTCAGTCAGTTGGCATTTCTGTGTAGAGTTTGCATGTTCTCCCTATGTTGGCGTGGGTTTCCTCCAGGAGCTTCTGTTTCCCCCACAGTACAAAGACATGCACTACAGTTGAATTGAATAAGCTAAATTTTCTGCAGTGTATGTGTGTTAATGAGTGTGTATGGATGTTTCACAGTGCTGGGTTGCAGCTGGAAGGGCATCCACTTTGTAAATACATATGCTGGATAAGTTGGCAGTTCATTCCACTGTGGCGACCCATAATTAATAAAGGGACTAAGCCAAAGGAAAATGAATGAATAAATGATTATGTGTTGGATTTTCAAAATATTCTTTAAATATAATGACATCCATAAAAGAGATCTACTCTCGCCATCTGAGCTACTATCAAATTACAATCTAAATGCAGCAAAAAGAAAAAAAGGTTAGTATAAGTTTAATATGTGCATTTCTTTTATTTAAAGCTCTACGATTGTTGCTTGTCAGATTTACAAATCCCATGTCACACTTTTGGAGCTCAGCTGTCATAATGTTAAACTGAATGACAATCAAAATGTGCTAAACACACAGACAAGCAGTATTTTTTTGGAGTTTGATGTCATTAATCCATTAATTCATTAACCTGGGTTCTGAAATGATACCTCACAGCTTACATAAACAATCTGTTGACTTAACTTTACTCATAACATGCCTTGGCAATAAAAGCATGTTTTGAAGATACCCAGAGTTGGTTTAAAGATGCCACACTGATCATGTCATCAGGTTCAGTGCTCCTATTGGTTCATGGTTTGATGCTTGTAGTGAGAGAAGTCACACTGCATAAAAGTGTCAGAAATATCTGACTGTCAGAAATTCATTAAAGGAAAATCTGTTGGGTGGCAAGGTGGCTCAGTGGTTAGGACTCTCGCCTCACAGCAATAAGGTTGCTGGCTTGAGTCCTAGCTGGACTAGGAGGCATTTCTGTATGGAGTTTGCATGTACTCCTTGTGTTCGCATGGGTTTCCTCCAGATGCTACGGTTTCCCCCACAGTCCAAAGACATGCAGTTTATAGATGAATTGAATAAAGCTAGGTTGGGCTGGAAGAGAATCTGCCACATAAAACATTATGCCAGAGTAATTGGCAGTTCACTTCTAATCCCTGATAAATCAGGGATTAAGCCAAAAGATACAGTAGTTATAGTGAGGAAAAAGTGTTTGCCATCAGTCAGCTGTTGGAGATTATATCAAACCAAGAATTGATGGCCAAGACATTACCCTAGGATTATAGGAATCTTTTAAGATTTGCAACTTTTTTTTAGATGACCAAATCATATAGAGTAAGAAATCGCACAGTGTGAGCAGGTCTAAACTCAAACTCTTAATTTGTCCTCTGCATTAACCTATCCAAGTTAGTGCACACATTAGGATGCAAGCAGTGAATACACACTGTGGACACATTTGTTTTCAAGGGCACTCAAGGGTGGCAGAGAGCACGATTATACACCCCGACACTGCTGAGAATCAAACCCACATTTCAGTTTCCACACCTTAACCATCAGGTTGACTCAAATGACCCAAATCTCTAAATCCCAAATTTCTCAGTGTCTATTCCAGACAAGACTGACTAGTTCTAGATCTGAACTAATAACTTTTTTTTTTTAATTTAAGTTCACTAAATTATTTAAAATCATTTTTAACTACAGCTTACAACATTAAAGTATAACCGTTTTGAGGCCTGTTCATGTTTTGAGCGTTCACATGGACGAAACCATAACCTATGGAGCTAATAATATGCAAAACTGTGTTAATTAAAATCACTGACAATGGTAATTTAATAAATCTGAATTTTTATATGCCTTAAAAATAGTTTTGAATTTCTTAATTTGAATTTGGATTTCATTTCTTCCCTGTTGATGACCCTTACTTTCTGCTGAACCTGAATTTTATAATCTGAATTTCTGATTTTGAATTTTAAAATATTGAATTTGATTTTCTTTCAAATTTCAGTTGTATTAAATTTCAGATGTTCAATATTCAAGTTATGAAATTCAAACTCAAATTAAGAAATTCAAATTCAAAACATTTTTTAACGGCATATAAAAATTCAGATTTATTAAATTACAATTGTCAATAATTCAAATGAACACAATTCAAATTCAGATTGTTTTGGCATATTATTAGCTCCATAATAACCAGCCTAACAAAGATGAATTGTATTTAATTAATACAGTGAAGATTATGCAATTTTATTTTACATTTGACTATTCAAATT